TGGACTCAATGGTATGTTTGATTTAACATGATGTTCATTTTTTTAAATCATGAGAAATAAATTTTAAGTGATGTTTTTTTCAGGGCATTATGATATACTTGAATATCCACATCCATTGTAAAAGCTTCTTGATTTAAAAATGAATGGTGATAAAATTAGTTAAATATCACAGGTCTAAGTAAGCTCTTTTCAGCTTGAAAATTTTATTTCCACCATCAGCATAACAGGATGAACTTCCATGGAATTTGGTGAAACTTAGCATTGCACATTGATGCAGGACCAAAACAGATCAAGATTTGTTTTGGAGTTAGGATTAGAAAAACTTGGGTTTGGGCTTTGAATCTGGTAATGACTTGAGATTATGAAGTGGTTTTTTGCTTTCCCTTTTTGAAGTGAAGATGAAGATGAATCATTCAGGTTTGATACCAATTGGTGCGGGATGGAGGCAGTCAACTCTAATTGTAGACCAAATGATGCGGGATGGAGTCAATCAACTCTAATTGTGGATCTAAATTTGAAAACTAAAGAAAAAAAAAGTATGAAAAGAAAAGATAAATAGGGTGTTAGCCGGGTTTCACTTGCAACACACAACTGGATTTGGCTTTGCACCTGTTGTCTTCATGCTTATGGAATCAACTAATCATAACTAATTAAAATATTTAAAAATGAGTCCCAAGAAAAACTAAATCCTAACAAATATTCCTAATCCTAACTCCAAAACAAATCTTGATTTGTTTTGTCCTGCTTCACACATCGTATGGGAAAATGGAAATCAATACGAACAATCTCCTGCCATTATGGATTTGGACTTGAAGTTCAGGATTGCTAAATTAGAACACTTTGAGACCTTAGCAAAACTTTTGGATATTGTTTAGACGCTTATGGAAAGGAGTTATATGTCCATTATGTGAACATTTCATTCGTAAAAAACTTTACCATTGTTCAAAATCCTATAGCGGTGATGGTATTCTGACTGTCAGTATTAGAAGTCTCAGCAGTTTAAGATCACAATAATGGAGTTTCAGACTGTCAGTGTTAGAAGTTTCAGCAGTTTAAGATCACAATAATGGAGCTTCAGTGTCTAAAGCTATGAACAATGCTTAAAAAAACTATATTTAAGTTAGAAAATACTTCAAAAGTATTTTCTTTGTAACCAATGAAGAATTAACATTAAATTTTGAGATGTTTGGAATGTTTAAATTAATACTTGGAAAATGTCTTTGTAAATTGGAATTTAAGCGTAAAATTGAGATGATATTCAATGACTTAAGACAGATATGGACGTTATCATGTTATTGACTATAAATAGAGACCAGAAAAAAGGACAGCCTAACAGATCAACAAAATGCCTTTTATTATCTTCTCTTCACTTTTTCCTCTTGTAGTTCTCATGGAATTAGGCATCTCGGCGGTCATTATGTTATTGGTGTGATTTATTTATAGCTGAGCAAGTACATTCTTTCCAATGTGGGACTAAACAATATGCTCGAACATTCCTCAACTCCTCTAATACTTTCCCTCAAACTAGCTCGCGCAGACGCACACATACCATGTCCAGCTTATTACATAAAAGCAAAAAATATACCCTAGATGACAATTTAGTGAAAGTATCACCAATCTGGCCATCTGAAGGATTAAAAGAAATCACACTTCCCGTAGCTTGCACCAAGTAATTATCTCATCCCCAATTTGTTGCAATTTCAGTAGCGATAACATCCTTTGGAGATTTGTCAGGATAAACTGGCTGGGCATAAGTAGCTGATTTTAAATTTTCATCTGCGTCCAAAAAGATGTTTGTGCCCCGTCTTTCAGCTTTACAGTAACAATCTGAAGTTGGTCAGGATCTTGATATTTTTTTTCTGTGACATGGAGGCAGGTTGTAGTGTATCAGGCTTGGAGTTATTGAGAACCTCTCATACATGGAGGCATGTTGTACAGTTGTAACGTCTCAAACATAGAGATGAACGACTGATAAGGGAATTTTAACTAGAAGGGAGATTGAAATACTCCTTTACCTGAAAAAAAATCAAGTGAAACAACTTGAGAGAAGAGGTACAGAGGGGGGATGAGGGGATTCAGATCATCTCCACTACCAAAAAAGTAGTGGAGACAACACTACCTTATTAATAGCTGTTGATTTATTTAGTGGATGGTTACGATTTGTCTTTGAGTGCAAATTAGGAAGCAATTCGAGTGTCAGATTTAGAATGAATCATAATCACCCACTAGAGGAATCAGGTTGTTAATAAGGTAGTGGTCTCCCCTCTACTATTTTTGTAGTGGAGAAAATCCAAATTCGGATTAAGAGGGGTGATGAACCCATCGTTGTGGGGAAAGCAAAAGGATGGCATTTGTCCAAATGTCTAGAGTTAAGAGGGTTTCTAGAGTTAGCAACTCTTTTGGTACAATGTTATGTTGGAAAAAAAGTCAACATAATTTCAGAAAGGAACATACTTCAATTACAGCTACATGAACTAAACAATTTTCTCTTTCTTAGTATGTTGGAAAAAAGTAGAAGTGCCAAGATCTCATGTTTTGCCTTTGATTCTATCAATCTACTATTAACCGTTGATGGAAGTTGACTTGTTTTAAATTTCTGTATAACTTATAAAGTATGAACTTAGTATAAAATCATAGACTAGTTCAATGAGCTTGGGTTCCTTGTTCCATCTGCTTTTTAACTCCAAGCAGATACCTATATTAGGAGGAAGACGAATTCATATGTTTTCGATGTTTATTTCTCATTTTCTGAGACCTTTCGAGCTGAGTATGCTAATTGTTCTGTTTAGCAAGAATATGATTATAAGTTACGCTTGTTTTGAGGTTTTGCTTGTTTTGAATTGTTCAGCAGTTTTCTCAGCAGTATCAAGCCTTGAAATTACCTCTTGGCCATTTTAAAGTTCTCTTCCGTGGAGACCCTTAAATGTTCGCTGTTAGAATTTTTTATGTCAGTGTCTGTTTCCATGTTACAGACCCCGAGTCCTTAAATTGAGCAAGCCTCATTTGTTGCTGTCAAGTATACTTCCATTTGAGCTGAAGTTTTTGAAGTCTACACTATCATCCTAAGAGTCTTCAAAGAGCTTCATTCATATCAAACGGGTCAATTATCCACACAGCACACACGCACAAAGGAATAAAAGTAGAGTGGAAAAGGGAATCAATTCACACAGAAGTTTTAACTAAGGGAATGGAATGAGAGATCAGGTGCAGTCAGCTTTACCAGATTATAATTCTAATTTCTTTAGCTAAACCCCTAGTATAAACTAGAAAGATGATGTTTGCTTCAATAAATTACTGTTGCATGTTTTTTCTTCACAAGATTGCTTCAATATATTACTGTTGCATGATTTCTCTTCAGAAGACCTATGTAATCTTCATCCAACACGGCAGACTGCAGACAATTTCTGAATCATTTCTGTTTAAATCATGTTTTGACCTCCAATTGACATAACTATGTGTACTATACTAATGTACATGTCTTAGAGGTCTTTATTGGTGATGCTTGGCACAATCGCTTGGCACAATCGGAAACTCAGGACTTGTAGTAATTCCTTGATTCCTTCTTTCATACGATCTTATTTCTGTCGAATTATTCATTCTATAAGCATGCCATCCTCAAGCGAATTTTTAATGGTGAATGTTAACAAAACATGTGAAGGAATTTTTTCTGGCAATCTTTCTTTGGATGTGACTGAGGGTTCCACGTGGAGAATAAATCGAAGTGGTTTCTGTGGAATGCGAAGTAAGAAGGTAACTGCATCACAATGTTTAACTAATTTATTTTAATTATTTGGCACTTACTGTTTTGAAGAAGCTGTTGTCCATGGCTACGGTTTGTGATATCTAATTTAATTTCTGAAGTTAACTTGTAAATCTCTGACTTAGAATCTTGAAACTGCCTTTAGTGTTGTAAATGTACTAGCTTCTGTAGGATATTTAATACTTTCCTTTCATATCTCTTTTTATTTAGAAAAGTTTGGGATTAAGGCTTTGTTGTTGGTGGATCCCTTTTAATTATTGATCATGAAATATGTATATTGATGTAGACACTATTTAGATATCAAATTAATCTTCGTGTTTCACAAAAATAATAGCAGATAAATGTGAGTGCAAGTTTAATGGAAGTGAATCAAGCTCACTTCTGTATACAAGTAAGATGAGCATTATCTGGACATGTTGCGGTAACCTTTATGTCTCAAAGTGCATTATGAACTTATTTTGACGTGTAGATTAGCTGATTATTAGTGATACTGACTGCATGTAGTTTTGAATCTTGATCTGGTTGTTTACTTATTACCTGGCCTTGGATATGGATTCTACTGTAGAAGTGTGTTCTATTGTTGACTGCATTTAGATTGGGGGTCCAGTCTGAATAAATCATGATTCATGACATTTTGTTTTTCAACAAAATTTGAGTTTGCATCTCAGTAGCAAAATTAGTTTGGTGCTTACTAACATTTTCATTATTGTCGTATGTTCAATGCTGACTTATATCACTATTTCCCCAATCTTCTCATGCAGTTTGATGGCTACATAGACTTGGAGCCATATGATACATTAGCCCTGAGGGTTCGAGGAGATGGGAGATGTTATATATCAACTGTAAGTTTTAGTAAACAAAACGACAACTGAAATTTGAATTTTTCTTCCATCTCTGTTCTTGCTGAAGATGTTATATATCAACTGTAAGTTTTAGTAAACAAAATGACAACTGAAATTTGAATCTTTCTTCCATCTCTGTTCTTGCTGAAAATTGAAGTAAATATGTTCAGTGTCATCTGTTCCCTGGTGCAGATATACACTGAGAATTGGATAAATTCACCAGGACAAGAAGAGGATAATTCATGGCAAGCATTTGTTTTTGCACCGAAAGACCAATGGCATATTGCAAAGGCAAGTTTTTTAAGAAAAAATTGTGGATCAACCCCCTGTGCTAGCGCCAAATTAAACTTACTACCCCATGTAGTTCTATTGTTCCAGATAGACCCCCTAAAAGAGTTCTATTATCACAGATAGACTTTCTGAGTGAAATCTGTCGTTGCAGATAGACCCCCTGAAAAGGGTCAAAAACATTTCAATCAGGCGGTCTATCTGCAACAATAGAACTACAGAGGTTGTAATTCAATTTGGCAACGGTATAGAGGGTCTATCCGCAATTAGCCCTTTTCCCCCCTTATACTTACCACTACATTTCCTTTGAAAATTATAAGGCAAGTTTTCATGAGCAAGAAGCTTAAACACTTGTTAACTTTGAATAATGCCAGATCCCTCTAGAACGATATCTACCAACATGGAGGGGAAATGTGATTGATGCCAAGTTAGAGATGAACCCAGCTCGTATACTTGGGATGTCATTCTCCGTTAATGCTGAAGGTGGTGTTGTTCCGGGCGCCAAATCTGGCCCCGGAGGTTTCAGACTGGATATCGATTGGATCAAAGCCTTGAGAACATATTAGTTTTGTCCCTCTTCTGGTTCTGGTCCCTGAAAAATGAAAATATATCAATAAACCGGCAATCCTGTAAGCTGTCAAGTGATGCATACCTTCTCTATAGATTTTGTGATTTTGGTTTGTTGTACTCTTTCAAGTCTGTTCCTTTTTGTATGTATAATAGTTTCTGAGTGTGAGAATTTTGAGCGGAGAAATTTATGTTGGAGAGCTAAGCCAGTTACATTTCATTCATAGGTAGAATCTCTCTCCGGATATGCGAATGGTCTTTTGTTATTAGAGTTGATGCTTATGTATAATTTTTTGAATATTCTGAGGAGATTTATGCGCATTAGGTGCTTGTAGGCAAATAGAGTAGCCTGAGCTCTGCTATTAAAACCTGTATATATAATAATGATATATATTATGCCAGATACCGTAAAGTCTAATGTGGTACCTCAAAATGATCGTTGATATTCCGAACTCCCTGGATCTATGTTGCAACTCCTGCGTATGTCCATCACATGTTATGTGGTATCAACTCCCTAGAAGTCCTTTTATCATATATTTGGCATCTGTGAATTTCAATGAAGCATCATAAGAGTTACACTTTTTAAAACTTTTAGTTTTTAAATTAGGTATATGCACGGCCTATTTATGTCCCTCTCATTTATGGCTCGTTTATTTAATATCTAAACCTATCCATTTAATATCCCTACTGTACGGGTAACTCTGAAATAAAAGGAAATCCAAATTTAAATGGGATTAATTACAACTGGGTATCACGAGGCATACGAGGCATAATTTTAGTGTACGGGTTGACCTTAGGGGGTGTTTGTCTACTTGCAACTGAGTTGAAAGTATGAAAGTGACTCTTTTTTGAAAGTGTGAAAATGCATCCAAGTCAGCATACAAGTGACATACATTGTTTGTTTGCAAAAACAAGTTATTGTTGAAATTAGAAAAGTGAGGATGATGTGGCAACATTATTTTGTTTATTTATATATTAAAAAACTATGTTTTTCTTTAAATCACTCCCCTTCTCTATTTACCATTTTGAACCTTATTCAGGACTGAGATCATGTAGTCATCAGCACTAATTTAACAAAATAAATAAAATCTAAGACATATATACCCAAAACTAAGCAATCACCATGGATAGTTCTAGTATTAGTGTTTGTTTGCATGCAAATGAAAGATAAAAAATAAGAAAGTTACTTTCATTTAACAATTAAGATGTTTGTTTTCATGTAAGTGGTTATGAAAGTGAGATGCAAGAAAGTTACCACATATGATTTAATGTAATTTTGACTTCCCCTAAAAAAGTGGTGAAGTCACATGAAAGTGACAAAAATGTAACTAATTTTCACAAATGATTTTAATTATACTTTCTAATTAATCTTATTTTGCCACGTCATCTTCACATTACACTTTCGATAATAATTTAATTTTTCAAACAAACATTGTATTTCACTTGCGTGCTGACATGGATGTAAAAGTCATTTGTAAAAAAAGTAACTTACATATTTGAAATTCACTTTCACATTGTCAACTTACATCTTCACATTACACTTTCTCACAAAATTTCAGCAAAAAAGAAATTCTTGGTATTATTAACATTATGATCAAATTATTTTTGTAATACTTGCAAGTGGAGATGAGAGAATCACAAAGAACACGCAAGCTACAAAATGTAAATAACCCAATTATTTATTTTCAATGAAAACAAATATTAATGACATATTTCAAACTATTGTTCCAACCAAAAATGATGAGAATAGTATTCAAAACGTGGGGAAAACAATGGGATTATTTCTATGGAGGTAAAAAATAAAAAGGGAGAAAATACAACGGGAAAAGAAAAGAGGCGTGAGAGAAAAATTAGAGGATATGAGATATCGTTGAAGATGAAACAAATCTGATATATTAATTATTATAGTATTTTAATATAATGTGTTCCCCACTTTTCACTTTCATGGCTCACTTCTGCACTTTTTTAGGGGATGTTGAAATTGCAAAAAGTCTAATGTGTACTATATTTTGGATCTCACTTTCACTATAACTTTCAATAAAACAAACAAGTGAAGTCTCAAGAATAAGAATAAGTGACTTTCATACTTACAATTTTCACTTACAACTAAACAAAACAACCTCTTAGAGTTAGGAAATGACTTCGATTACTTATAGTAATTTTCTTTTATTATGAAGTAATTAAACCATTTGAATATGATATATATATATAGAACAATTTTTCTAAACAGACCCATTTCAATTTTTTTTAAAACCGACTCTTTTTTTTATATTTACCAAAACCAACCCGATTTTGTGATTAGCAGACTAATCACCTTCCTAAATAGTCGAGGTTGGCAACTCCGACTATTTAGGACGATGTTAAACCCTAATTAGAAGTCTTAAACCCTAAAAATTAATGTCCTAAATAGTCGGGGTTGCCAACCCCGACTATTTAGGAAGGTGATTAATCTGCTAATCATAAAATCGGGTCGGTTTTGGTAAATAAAAAAAAGGGGTCGGTTTAAAAAAAAAATTTGAAATGGGTCTGTTTCAAAAAATTGTTCCTTGAATAACGTTAAAAAAACTTTGTCCTCCAATCTCCTAGATCATGCAATGGCAACCAACTCCACAAGCCCAAATGAGCCTCCAATGTGGCCAATAACAACAACCCAAACACCAATCTCCTTTAATCCGTTCAGCACAATGTCAATGAACCACCTTCGCACCCCTCATCCACACTTATCATTTATCTTCTTGACTTGTCAGTCCTAGAGGAATTCGTTCTTGACTTCCTTGTCAGTCATAGATGCATTTGTTCTTGGGTTCCTTGTCAGTCAAGATAACAAGGAACCTCTGCAGTTTCTCCCCCTCGCTACAGGACGAACCTCCTAAGCCCAGCCCACTCCCAACCCAGCCCCATGGAACCGACAAGATAGGATAGTGCTGCTTTGGTTGAAGTCCACCATTATGGAACGTGCATTGGATCATAATACTTATGCCACAACCTCTCATCATGCTTGGCTTACTCTGCAGCGCATATTTCAATCTCAATCACAAGCACGAGTTATGCAATTACGCTCTCAATTGCAAAAACATGCGACAAGGATTTCTCATCTTCAACTATGCTGAGAATAAGAGTACTTTTGCTGATCTCCTAGCTGCTACATCCAACCATGTCAATGAAGCGGACCTTATTGAATTTATTCTCTCTGGGCTCTACCTGAAGTTTGGTCCATTCGTCGCCTTAGCTTGTCTCATGTGTGCTGCCATCAATGTTGATGATCTACTTGGCAACCTCCACCAAGAAGAGAAGCATCATAAGTTAGCTAATCAGCAGTTACTGCTCGACTATACCAGCCGTGGCACTGACCATCATCAAGACCATGCCCACAACAGGCTCGGTGTTATCGTCCTTAGTCCAGCCAGAACAATATGTAGATAGTATCTAAGATATGAAAGTTTAGAGAATGGCTTGAAATCTTTCAGCTAGAGGTGATTATGCTTCATATAATTGATTATGCTATTTCTTGGAGAAATTGTTGTTGAAGGGCCTTTCTGATAGACCAATGTGCATGCTTTCTTATTTTCTGAACAAATTCAGGTGAATAAACAGAAAAGGTTGAGGTATGGTTTCCACTTATTTCCTGACCATTCAATTTTCATTTGATTGTCTTCATACATAGAAATTGATGAAATTAGTCATATTTTTAAGTGTCCACATTAATTATTCTAGGAAACTACATATACAAGGGCCATGGAGTTACAGTGATATTAGTTTCATATACTAGAGGCTTTTTGTTGTATCTTATTAGGAATCTAATATTGTAGTATTGATATTTTGTACCTTCTGAAGTTTTTTGTCATGCATATAACAGGATGGAAGGTACAGAGGTGCCTATTTTGCTATTTCAAGAGGATAGTGCCGATTATCTCCTAATCTGTATAATCACTATGGCTGCACAAATAGCAGAGCTACTTGCACAGGTCTCACAACTCATATCAGAGGAAGAGTCAAGTATACAGTCGCGTGCATGTTCGGGCCTCAAACATGGCATTATAGATCTTAGTCTTCAATACAACAAATCCAAGATGAAGAGTAGACCCCGTGATTTTCGTCAGATATATCATGTGTATCCAGATTGCTTCATGAAACTGTGTATGGTACTATGAGGCCACAACTAGCAGAGCTATTTGCACAGGTCTCATAACTCATATCAGAGGAAGAGTCAAGTATACAGTCGCGTGCATGTTCGGGCCTCAAACATGGCATTACAGATCTTAGTCTTCAATACTCCAAATCCAAGATGGAGAGTAGACCCTGTGATTTTCGTCAGTTATATCATGTGTCCAGATTGCTTCATGAAACTGTGTATGGTACTATGAGGCCACAACCATTTAAAAGATACACGTTATATTAGTATTGAGGAGATGGTTGCTATTTTCCTTCTCACAATTATACAGAATCAACGATATAGCACTACTAACAAGAGGTTTGATCAATCACGATTTGTTATAAGTGTGCGCTTCAACAAAGCACTCGTAGCTCTTGTATCCCCCCTTCTCTGATGGCTTCACCTCCTACTGACCCGCCAGAAAATGTCACATTAGACTCCCATTTTGGGCTATTTCAAGGTATTTTAATTTCAAATGCATTATATTACTCTTCATTCTTTATTATAAAATTATTTGATTTATATCTCATACATGTTAATGGAATGGATATGATTGTATCGGTGAAATCAATGGGACTCACATTCCTCGTATGGTGTATTGCATGGATCGACCTCATACTGTAATAGACATAGCTATCTTTCCCAAATGTCCTTGCGGCATGCACGTTTGATCTCAAGTTCATTTATGTCCTGGTGAGATGGAGGGATCTACAAATGATTCACAGGTATTGAAGGATGTAATGAAATGAAGGAGTGAATGCAGATTTCCACTTCTAGATGGTAATAATCTTTATGTCAAATTGTTAAGTTTAACACTTACTTTTTAAGATTTTTGTCGATTACAATTCTAGCAATATGTTATCGTAGGCAAATTCTATCTGGTGGATTGTGGTTATCCCAATAGGTTGTAGTTCTTAGCTCTGTATCGAGGTACAATGTACCACCTAAAGGAGTTTGGCCCAGCCAGCAACCGTCAGCAGCCACGTAATCCGCATGAGTTATTCAACCATCGGCATGTATGTCTCCGAATGTGTGTCGAACATATCTTCGACGTTTTCAAGTCGAGGTTCACTATTTTCAAGAATCAACCTCCTAGTTTTTCATGTGAGATATAGAAAAATATGGTTTGGGCTTGTATCGGCATGTGTAACTTTTT